AGATATCAAAAATATACAACACTGCCTAAAGGTATATATACTCATATTATGTGATCTATATAGATTTTTACCAAAAGAAACATGATAGCCACCTATTCTGAACCCAAAAAAAATTAGTTCTACTCGAACATGGCATTGAAAGCAAAAAAAAAAAACTTAGCTGTACAGTTGTCACCAATGACGAAAGCAAATGCACCAAACTTGACAGCACCAACAACGCAAGAAAAAAACACAAACCACTAAGTGAACAAAACCTATGATGCAAAAAAAAGCACCAACCTACAAAAAATACCGAGCTGGACGACATCAATGAAATGCACCAACCGGCGAAAAAAGCACCGAATTGGACAATATCAACAAAGCAAGACCAACAACAAAAGAAGCACCAACTGGACAATGCCATCCATGCAAGAAAAAACACCAACCAGCGAGAAAAGCACCAAACAGGGCAAAGCAACAATTGGACGACACCAACGACGCAAGGCACCAGTCCACCGAACAGAACACACCAAATAGTGAAAAAGAAAGGATACCAACTGATGAAAGGAGTATTGAACTGGACGACACCAACGACGAACCTACTACCCTAAAAGAGAATAAATATGAGTGTTAATATTGATAAAAAAAATAACGAAAGCAAAAAAATAAAAAAGTGAAAAAAAATAGAATTACTTATCTTTTTATATCCATCCTGTGTAACCGGTGATGATCACCGCCGGTGATTTAAAGTAAAATACCTTATTAATTCAAATTTGACTATACTATATACATAAAATTAAATTTCAAATTTAATTGCTAAATATTTTCATTTATTGGAACTATAGAATTATTTTTTTATATATGTAATTAATTAAACTTATCCATAATGACAGTAATTTAACTCATTTTAATCCCCCGATCACTATATCAAGATCACGGGAGGATTAATTAATAATATCCTGACCGTATGTGAATAAGCGAAAACTTCGTTTCCGCTAATTCCCAACGGATCAGGATATTATTGTTATTAATATTTAGAAACTCGATTATTAAATCGGTTTGCCTTAAAATTGTTTACTCGTTTCAAGTATGATTTTTAATTTGCTACTAACTAAACTTGTTACTAAAGTCCTTTCGAATAAAGTTCTTATTATAACAAATTAATCCAATCTATTTTTAACAAGTTATTTTAAAATTATTTTATGTTAAACGAAGCAGGATAACAACTCTATTATTAACATTGTTAAAATTTATAACTAAAAAAATTGATTTTTATACAAAATTGTAATAACAAACATAGCTGTTTTTCTGTATATTTCAATCTTGTGCAGTGTCACTATTTTACGCCCAAATCATATAAAAACGAAATTTTCGTGCTGTTTATTTTACAAAATTTTTATCTCGCAAGAGTTAGTCCGTTAAAAAGAATTTTTGAAAAAGACGTACGTACGTTTCCTATAAATAAATCATTGTATACAGTACAACATATTTAACTCATAACAATGACTACTAATGACTACAGATTAGATTTAAAGTCAATTTTGCGTAATTTACGTATTTGTTATGTAAACAATATTCGCATGTATTGTTTAAAATGCAGCAACGAGCCACGTACTTTTCGCGTTACAGTACATTAGCCACTTCTCGCTTATTTTGTGATTTTTATAATGATAGATGAATATATTGGCTTGTATTATATTCCTAAATTAGTAAATTTAATATATTTTGAAGTAAAAATGGTATAAAGTTGTTTGTTTTGTTTGTTTACGTGTTGTTTATTCATAACCATCTGTTGTAGTACATCTGACGTTTATAAAAAGGGCAAATGGCAAAATCAGCCCTAAAATCGGATTTTGTTTGTATGTCTTTCTTTTTGTAAGTACGCACCGTGTTTTCGAATAAAGGAAAAAAAATTTTAGAGACGATAAAGCAAGTACGAACTTTTTTACTTTCTTCTAAGCACAATTGTTATCAGTTATGAACGCGTGTATTTTACATTCTATTTTTTCGTATAAAATAGTTTAAACATACATCCCGAAATCGACACACTTCTATTACAGTATTATGAATACCACGATTCGATCATCTCTTTTAACTCTTCCACCGGAAACATTTCTTCAGATTTGTAAATCACTTTCACCGGCCGATTTACTCTCCCTATCAACTGTTTGCAAGACATTTTATAACGATCTATGTCACAGCGATTCCATAACTATCCAAGAGATTTGGCGTCAGTCACGACTTGAACATATCCCGTGTCGAGAATTAGGTCCACTTGAAGGCATGACAGAACGAGATTATATAAGATTTTTAATGGAAGATAAATGCGGGTTCTGTGGAGTCAAGAATAGGGTTACAAGAATTTACTGGGAACGAGGAGTTCGCGCATGTATTGGATGTTTCAGAGAAAAAACTATTCAGTAAAAATTCTTTTATTTATTTCGTGGTTCGAGATTTGCATTAATTTTAAGCATTAATAATTTAAATATTTTATTTTTTTATTTATTTATTTTTAGTGAAGACAGCCTATCTTATATTAAAAACATAAACCCTAATATTGTTGCATTTCTCTCGTCCTCAACTCATAAAGATGGCAACAAAAACTGGCGTTACTGGTTTAACCAAGTACAGTCTAAAAATACTGAATTCCAACTTCTCTCTCAGCAAGAACGCGATGATTGGGTCAAACAACAGTCTCTTGTTTTCTCTCAACGCGAACAACAACTTATATTGCGTCGTCAGGAGGATGATAAATGTCGAGAACATGTATTAATTGAGCGAAGAAAAGCTATAAATTCAAAATTAGAAGAAATGTGTTCGCTGAAAAATCCTGATGGTAGTCAGAAGTATACAAGATTTATTTTAGATATGT